ATTGTGCTTGTGATATGTTGTAAAATGTTGTATGTCTGTTAATGTTTCCCTCCTTTTATCCTTAAAATAATAAAAAAAAGAAATATACTATTTTTATTTTATTTTATTTTATTTCATTTTATTTTTTGCAGTGCTGGGACTTGCACATGCTATGCAAATACTTTGCCACTGAGCTATAACCCCCAGCTCTAGGGATAGCTATTTTTCCCCATATATTTCCAATTTTTCACTGTTTTTGTTGGTTATAGAGATTAACTGATTTCATTTTAGCAGGTTCATACACCCACAGAACATACTCTGATCATTTTCACCCTTCCGTGACCCCCTTTTCCTGCCCTTTCCCCTAGTTTCACCTTTTTGGGGGGAGGGTTCCATGTGTATACTTCGTTGAGATCCCTTCTCCTATTACCCACCCCTAGCTCCTCCTGCCCTATCTCTTATATCCTTCCTCTCATTACTAGTAGTCTCCCTTCTGCCTTCTTGTTGTCCTTTTTTAGCTTCCACTTATTAGGTGGAACATATGACATTTGTCTTTCTGCATCTGATTTATCCTGCTCAGATGGTCTCCATATCCATCTGTTTTCTTGCAAATGACTGAATTTTGTTCTTCCATATGACTGAATAATACTCCTTTGTGTATATAAACCACGTTTTCTTTATCCATTCATCTGTTGTTGGGCATCTAGGCTAGCTCCATACCTTGGCTACTGTGAATCGTGCCACAATAAATATGGGCATGCAGGTATTTCTGTGGAATGCTGAGTCAAATTCCTTTGGATACATGCCAAGGAGTCATATTGTTGGATCAAATGGTAGCTCTATGTTTAGTTTTTTGAGGAATCTCCATATTGATTTTCATAATTGCTGCGCTGATTTGCTTTCCCACTAGTGGTGTAGAAGCACTCCGTTTTCCCTTCTTCCTCACCAGAATTTATTACTTTTTGTATCCTTGATGATAGCCATTTCATCTGGGTTGAGATGGAATCTCATTGTAATTTTGATTGGCATTTTCCTAATGGCTAAAGATGTTGAACATTTTTTCCATATACTTATTGGCCACATACTTCTTTTTGAGAAGTGTTTATTAATTCATTTTCCTATTTATTGATCAGACTGTTTGATTTTTGGTCTTATACTTTTTGAGTTCTTTGTATATTCTAGATATTAATTCTCTGTCAAAAGAATAGCTGTTAAACATTTAGTTGTTTTTCTTTCTGTGCAGATGCTTTTAAATTTAATGTATAGTAGCCCAATTTGTTGATTCTTCCTATTATTTCCTGAGCTATTGGAGTCCTATTCAGAAAGTTTTTGACTGAGCCTATATCTTCAAGTTTTTCCCTTATGTTTTCTTCTACCAGTTCAAGGTTTCAGGTCTTATGACCTAAGTTTTTTGATTTACTTGGAATTGATTTTTACACAGGGTGAGAGATGGGGATCTAATTTCGATTTTCTTCAAGTCTATATCCAGCTTTTTCCAACAACATTTGTTAGAGGTTGTCTTTTCTTCAACATATATTTTTGGCTCTTTTACCCAGAATCAGATTGCTGCATTTGTGTGGGTTTGTTTATGTGTCCTCTGTTCTGTTACCTTGGTCTATGTGTCTATTTTTGAGCTAGTACTATGCTGTTTTTTTTTTTTTTAATTGTGGCTTTGTAATAGAATTACAGAGGCATAATTGTGATATATCCAGCCTTGTTCTTTTTGCTTAGGCTGGCTTTGTCTATCCTGGGTCTTTTGTGGATTTTAGAAAAATTTTTTTAAGTTCTGTGAAGAATGTCATTGGTATTTCGGTAGAGATTAGACTGAATTTTGGTAATACAGCTATTTTGACGGTATTAATTCTGCTAATCCATGAACATGGGAGGTCTTTCCATCTTCTGGTGTTGTCTTCAATTTCTTTTTTTAGGGTTCTGCAATTTTTCATTGTAGAGGTCTTTTATCTTCTCAGTTAGCATTATCTGTAGGTATTTTATTGTATTTGAAGCTTTTCTAAATAGAAAGCAACATTTCCTTTTAATACCACATGACTTCTTATTTTCAATTACTTATATAAAATCATGAATTTTGATGGAATATTTTTATTTAGGAATGAATTTAAAAATGTATTATTCCATCTTTAATAATTTTATTTCCTTTTAACTCTGTAAAATTGTAGACAAAAAATATAAAATAGCATTTGTAATTTTTAGGTGGTAACTTCTACTTTCTAAAAATTAATTCTGAAAAGTAGTCAGGTGTGGTGGCTCATGCTTGTAATTCCAGCACTTGGAAAGCTGAGGCAGGAGGATTGTCATGAGTTCAAGGCCATCCTGAACTATGTAGTGAGACCCTGTCTGAAAAACAAACCAAACCAACCAACCAACCAACCAACAAACCCACCAACTAACCACAGGAGTCTGGTTCGTTAGCTTCACAGTAGGGATGGCTTTTAACCTTAGTAGCTCTTGCTGTACCCCACCCCCTCTGCATCACAGCTTTGTTAAAAGATGTGGGACTCTTTTAAAAGATCATTTTTACTATGATGAAGCCAAATTTTAAAAAATAACATTTAAAATCTTTACATTTATTTTGTTAAAACTAAATGAACCAAACACACAAACAAAAAAATAGATTGTAATCTGTAAATTCATTTCCCTAACTGGTTTAATTCTGTATCTAGAATCTGTTGGTGTGTTTGTGGCTGAGGCAGTAGTCTCAGCACAAGGCCTTGTGTACATATGCCTTTCCTCATGGCTGTGGCTGTCCGTGTGGAAACTCAGGTAAGATATATTTATATGATCTCTGTTTAGACCCTCTCTTTAGTTCCCATCACTAGGAGAGTAGGTAGGTAAAAGGTGGGGGTTGCATACCATGAAAACAAGTCAAGAATGAGAAGCAGCTAAGTAGATTTACGCAGGCCACTGGAGATGAATTTTTTTTTTTTTCTTTTGGAGGCAGGGTCTGGCTATGTAGTGCAAGCTGGCTTTGAACTTACTTGTATAGATCAGGCTGGCCTCAAACTCATAGCAGTTCCTACCTCTAGCTGTTGTTAAGTTTCGCGATTACTGGCATGCGCCAACACACCTGCCCACTGTAGATGAATTTAAAAGCATAGTGCAGATGAAAAAAAATAGCACAATAGAAAGAAATGTAGCACAATATTTTTAAAAGTAAGTTAAAACTACACTTACTTTTATACAAAACAATGTATGTTATAAGAACACTTACAAACAAAATATATTCATTCCACGCATTGACCCATTTCCCTATCAGGGGTGTGAAGGAGGAAAGAGAAGGGAATGAGGATTAAAGGGAAAATAAATAAACTATGGGCAAGCCCTGTAGGCCAATGCTGATAAAGGGATTTGATGTGAGGAATATGATTAACTCAACCCTGTGCAGCTGGACATCCACTTCTCCACCCTTGGAGACCTGAGATAAGATATTTCTGTACTCTTTCGTCATGTATTTGCTCTGCATATATATCTAATCTTTTCAGATACTGTTCCAAGCAAGTTGGGCATACCTCACTTATAAAATCTCATTTAAATTTGCCTCTAATATTGAGCTGTGAAAGACAAATTTATTGCAGATTTTATTTTTTCCCAAACTATAATAAGAAACAAAAAAACTCTTTAAAGTCTCAGATCAAAAAAGAATAGAGTGCAAAGTAGAATGAGATATATTATATAATGATATCAATATGAATTAAAATTATATGTACATAAAACAGTATATTTTATGAACCTCTGTCAACAGAAAGCCCTGATTGAATCATTGCTGTTGAGTTGAAAGGATAGTCACGCACATCTGCACTGACATATGGCAGCAGGAATGGAAGATTAAGAATGGGGCATGTGGGAAAAAAATTTGAAAAAAAATTCAGTAGATCTGAGGTATTGAATTAGATTATTAATGCATATTCTCTTATTTTGTTCCTATAACAACTCTGTGAAGTGGTTATAATCTTTATTTTACAAATAAGAAAACCGAGAGCCAGAATAGTTAATGTTTTACTTAGCAGACAACCAAAACTTAAGTAATTCAGATGTTGATGGAAATTATTTATTATTTCTGTGCTCAATATTTCATATTATATCCTCCTGAGAAAATAAAGAGAAATCAAGCCCAGAATATAAAAGTAACTTAACCCGTAATTTAGGAGGAGTTTTTTTTTTTTTTTTTTTTTTCCCAAGTCTTCCAGCTATGTGGTACCTTTCCATGGCCTTTTAAAACACACTTGTTACTCTTTAACTGTTAAAATTGGAACTAGTGGTCTGGTTTTTACATACCATGCTGCAATCAAATTGAGATCTCACCAGGTAGTTACTTATTAAGTAGAACATACGATGATTTAAGAGTTGACATTGGAATTAAGTTTGAAGCTGAACCCTGGATTGCCTTCAACTTCTGCTACTGATTGCAGTAGAAAAGTTTATAGTAGTTCATCTTTATTATCTTATTATAATGTGACCTTGTAACATGCAGCCTTCTAAAACAGTTTTACTGAGGAAAAAAATTTAGTTTTTCCTGAAAAGTACTTTATCATGAACAGTAAACGTGTTTGTATTCAGATTTGTAAAAAAATAAATTATCTATTGTGTCAAATTCTATTTGCAATCATTTTTCATATGTTAATGTCAAATATTAATCATAGAATACTCACGATCTGTCCTACCTCCTATCTATTGCTGGTGCCTGCCATTGGTCAAATGCAACAAAGAGACACTTTTGCAAATCTTACTATTGTTATGCTTTTTTGTCTTTGCCATTTGACAGGTAAAAATATCTTTGTGTCATTTTAAATGTATTTCTCAGATTAATAATAGTGTTTATGTCTGCTTTTTATATATTCATGATTTATATTTCTTAAAAATATATTACTGATATGATTTTGCATGTTTTTCTAATAAGCCACATTATTTTGTTAGAGATTTTTTATATTTGAGTGACCAACTTTTTGTGCTATGCATATCATATTTCCTCACATAATTTGCTTTGCCTTTGTTATAAAGACGGTCAAAGTTTTTAAAAAAATATTGCTAAAGTTTTAAGTGTTTTCTATTTTTGCTTCCTTTGGTTTGTGCCTAAAATACCAGTTGGTTTGAAATGCTACTGTTATTATATTATTTGGATAATCATAGAGAGGTGGGTGGAACAGAATATGAAATACTGGAATATGATAACGATCTGCCTATGATTGGCCAAATTTTAGTCTAGTGTTTACATTATCATGGCTTCTTACTACCTTTGTTGGTTTGTTGGAAAGATTTACTTGCATTGATCTTCTTTCTCAGTTTTGCTTGTTTTGTATGTTTATTATGACAGATGAAATTTTAAGTCAAGTCAAAATGAAGCAAAATCCTGTTGGCATTTCAGTTGTTGTTGTGTTGTTGTGGGATAATTGCTAGGGAATTGACATCCAGAAACATGGAATATCTTTTAAGTTTTCCAAGTCTCATATATGTTTCTCAGTGAAGACATAATTTTGTTCATATTAGAACTGCACAGTTATTTTAAATGTGTTTCTAAATATTTTATATATTATTATTAATGTATATTAAAACCATCATTTTAGTGTATGTTTTCTAATAAAACACTTACTTATTGGAATATTTTCTATTAGTCTTTCATTTGATTTGTGTTCATCTAGTTTGGTAGAAAGATATTTTAATTACAAATTTTATTATTTTTTTATTAAATAGTTTAATGACATTTCTATCTCCAGCTTTTAAATATCTAAATATCCTGTTCAATTTATTTAATTTAACTAGCTAGATATGTCAGATCAATTTAAAAAACAGAAAACCTGTAAAATAGTGGGCATTCTTTTATGGGGGGATTTTTTTCTTGACATTGGGTCTCACTATATAATACAGACTGGCCTTGAACTCACTGCAATCCTTCTGCCTTAGCCACCTGAGTGCTGGGATTACATGTGTGCCCCCACCACACCAGGCTCATTAACATCATTTAAAAAGTTATTTTATGAAATATTTTTTCTTTTCAAATTAAAATATCAGAATAAAAAATGTTAAATGAAAATTTTTAATTAATTGATAAAAATCGATATATTTTCTATATTACATAATCTTTCTAGTCATTGTATAAAGTTTGCTTGCTTGAGTAAGATATCCTAAGTATATTAATGGATTAAAATTTTTTTTGTGGTACTAGGAATTGAACCAAGAACCTTTTCACTAAGCTAAATCTCAAGCCTTTTAAAAAAAATCCTCAATAACATACTGGCAAACAGATTGCAGCAAATCATCAAGCTCATACACCATGACAAGTGTGATTCATTCTAGAGATTCGGGGATGGTTCAAGCATATGCAAATCAGGGGCTGGGGATTTAGCTCAGCAGCACAGCGCCTGCCTGGCAAGCATGAGGCTGTGAGTTTGATTCCCGGTACCGGAAAAAAAAACAAAAAAAAACCCCCAAAACATATGTAAATCAATAAAAGTAAAACACCATATAGAAACAAAGGCAAAAGTCACATGATCATCTCAATAGATACAGAAAAACATTTGACAAAATGCAGCATCCATTCATGATTAAAACTCTGAAAAAATAGGAATAGAAGGCTGGCTGTTATCTCAATCTGATAAAAGCCATCTATGAAAAACCAATGGCCAACATCATACTAACGGAGAGAAGCTGAAAGCTTTCCCTGTAAAATCAGGAACAAGATAAAGATGTCTGCTACCACTATGTCTGTTCAATATAGTCCTCAAAACATTAGATACAGCAATAAGGCAAGAGAAAGAAATAAAAGGGATATGAATAGGAAAGGAAGAAGTTAAATTATCATTACTTGCTGATGACATTATCCTCTACATAGAAGGCCCAAAAAATCCACCAAAACACTTCTAGAACTAACATCTAAATTCAGTAGCATCGCGTGATACGAAGTCAACATTCAAAAATCAATAGTGTTCTTGTATACCAACAGCAAACTAACTGAGAAGGAAATTAGGAAAGCAATACCTTTCACAATAGCATCAGGAGAAATGAAATACTTAGGAATTAACCTAACCAAGGAAGTAAAAGACCTCTAAAGTGAAAAAAAACTCTAGTATGCTAAAAAAGGAAATTGAAGACAAATCAGAAAATAGAAATATATTTCCTATTCCTGGATAGGCAGAACCATTAGTCAAAATGGCCATACATCCAAAACTGTTATATAGATTTGATGCAATTCCAATCAAAATACCAATAAAATGCCTTACACAACTGGAGAAAGCAGTCCTAAAATTCACATGAAACCATAGGAGAGCCAGAATAGCAAAAACAATTCTGGGGAATAAAAGCATCACAATCCTTGACTTTAAGTTATATTACAAAGCTACAGTGATAAAAACGGCATAATATTGGCAAAATAACACACTTGTGGATTTTTTTTTTTTTTTTTGGTTTTTCTCCGGTACCAGGAACCGAACTCACGACCTTGCGCTTGCCAGGCAGGCGCTTTGCCGCTGAGCTAAATCCCCAGCCCCCACACTTGTGGATTAATGGAACAGAATAGAAAGTACAGAGACAACTCCACGTACATTCAGCTATCTTGTCTTTGTCAAAGGGGTCAAATCCCTTTGATTGAGGAAAGATAGCTTCTTTAACAAATGGTGCTGAAAAAACTGGCAATCCACATGCTGAAGGTTGAACATAGACCCATATCTCTCACCATGCACTAAACTGAAATAAAAATAGATCAAAGACCTAAACATTAGAACAGAAACACTTAATCTGCTGGAAGATGAAATATGTAAAACTCTTGACATAGGTGTAGGCAAAAACTTTCTGAACAGAGCCCAGTTTCACAAGATATAATACTGAGAATCAACAAATGGGATCATATCAAATTAAAAAGGCTTTTGCACAGCAAAGGAAACCACCAACAGAGTGAAGAGACAACCTGCAGAATGTGAAAAAATTTTTGCCAGCTACTTCTCAGACAAAGAATTAATATCTAGAATATACAGAACTAAAACAATTAGATCCCCCAAGTTTATTTATTTTTATTTGTATTTTATTGGTACATTTTAATTACATAGTGATAACATCCATTGTAGGGGATTTGTACCTATGCATGGCGTATTTTTCTTCTTTTTTTCACTCCCCTCCCCTCTCTTACGTTCCTCATCCTATCTTTATTTACAAAAGCTTCATTTCCATTTTTTCCTTCTATTCTTTTTTTTTCTTTTCCCTTCTTTCCTTTCCCCTTCCCTACTCCCTTGTTCCCCTTCTCATTTGAACAATTTCTTCCCATTTCCCAGTATCCATTACACGTTTTGGTCTGTATTTACACCTTTGGTTTCTCACACAGAGAAACCATACAATATTTACCCATGTGTGTCTGATTTATTTCACTTAAGAGTATGGTATCAAGGTACATCCAGTTAGCTACAAATGTCTCAAGCTTATCCTTCTTTATGGAGTAGTACTTCATTCTATAAAAAACCAATATCTTCTTTATCCATTCATTGGTTGATGGGCATTTTGTCTGTTTCCAAGATTTAGCTATTACAAACTATTACAAACAGTGAGATCCCCCAAATTTGAAGACCCAGATTAAAAAATGGGCATCTGAAATGAATAGGCACTTCTCAGATGAAATACAAATGGCCAATAAATACATGAAAAAATGATCAACATTGCTGGCCATTTGAGAAATGGCAAGTTAAAATAATACTGAGATTCCATTTCACCCCAGAAAGAATGGCTACCATCAAGAAATCAGCCCATAACAAATGCTGGCAAGGCTGTGTGTGTGTGTGTGGAAGAACCCTTTTCTATTGTTGGCAGAATTGTAAAGTGATAACAACCACTATGGAAATTAGTGTGGCAAGTCCTCAGAAACCTAAAAATAGGATCTCCACTTGACCCAGCTATCGCCCTTCTAGGTATCATCACAAAAGAGTTAGAGACATCATGCCACAGTGATGTATTCATACTTATTTATAACAGCACAATTCATGTTAGCTATATCTTGGAAACAGTACATAAGTTCATCAAGAGACGAAAAGGAAAAAAGACAGAGGGAAAAGTTATTGTAGTCCAGCATGGACAATGTGTCTAAAAGTGTAGTTAGACTTAGTATAATTGTCTTACATGTTTTATATGTTCTGTTCTTTGACCTAATAGTCTGATGTTCAGTGTGTATATATGAAAATTAACTTTATAAGGTCTTATAAGA